CCCGCGGGCGAGGTGCGGGGCTCCTGGGGCGGAGGCGACCCCCGCGGACCACGCGCCCCAGGGCGCCTTTATTTTGTAAAAGGAAAGTGAGAAACCTGCACGGCGGCCTGACTTTTGCAATCTTAGTAAAACAGCATTGAAAACGAGGACGGCCGTGCTGCCGCCGGAGCTGCGTGCCTGCTCGCTGGACCCTGAAGAGGCACCTGAAAACTAGGACTGTAGCTAGACCATCTTGCTTCTCCCCTGCCCCCCACCTTGCACACGCGCGCACGCGCACACCCTGGGGTGGGCATCCGGGCCGGGGACCAGGCTCACCTACCTATCACGCATCTTCTGTGCGGAGGGGTCAAGGGGCATTTACTGACGCCAGGCCCAGCTAGGTAGGAGCTGGAAGGCTTGACGACCACATCCCTGTCGACCAAGAACTGCGCTACACCCTGGGCCGGACCCTCGGGCCTGGGGCTTCCCCGGCTTGGCTTCTTGGCTCTCCAACTCTCAGCATTTAAGGCCTTGTTTCTCGGCACTTGCATTTTTGTCGGTGTGTCTCACGAATAACTGCATTACAAAAAGACGCGAAAGCAGTGGGAAGCACAATCACCGGACAGAGGTGATCGATCCTATTAATATTTTGGTATACAACACACTAGGATTTTGTATGCACATGTATAGCTGTTAATTTTTTTTTAATCAAGGAAATCATTCTCTAATACTTAGAATCAGCTTGTTTCATGGATTTTTCCCCTCCCACACATGCTGTTAAATTCGCTATAATCTTTTTTTTTTTGGGGTCCCGTCGTGGGGCCTGAATTCTGGGCCTGGGCGCTGTCCCTCAGCTCTTCAGCTCAAGGCTAGTGCGCTACCACTTGAGCCACAGCGCCACTTCCGGCTTTTTTCTTTTGCTTATGTGGTGCTGAGGAATCGAACCCAGGGCCTCCAGCATGCAAGGCAAGCGCTCTACCACTGAGCCACCTTCCCAGCCCCAAATTCGCTATAATCTTGTATTTTAAAAAAACGACAACAAAACATAACAAAAAAAACTCTTGATTTGTGAACTTAAGATCCAAAACACACCTTTTTGTGGAAGGTGGGGGAAGAAAGACTAGAGATAAACAACCAAGCTCCGCAGGCTCACTCAGTAAGTTACATAAATGTTCACATGAATCACAGAGGGCACACCAGGAAGTTTTTGTGTCCAAGGTGAGTGTAAAAGAAAGTATTTGTTTTCTATGTCTACAAAGAAATCTTCAAGAAGGAGGTAAGAGTTTCGAGAGGCTGTAAATATTTGAGCTGAAGGCTTAATACCTTACTTATAAAAAATAAGTACTTGGCTCAAGGTCCATGTAAAAAAATCTAATCTTTTGAAAACTAAGACTATATCTGAATTTCTTCTGGCCCTAAGTGAGGGAGTGGCTTTAAAATTATCTAATTAATTACTCTAAGAAAGTACTCAGAAATTACTTTTAAGAATAATATCTTCTTATTGAAGAAAATTATTTGAGATAATATTATTGCTTGGAGTAGACATCTTCTAATATTTAACATCTGTCCAGGAGCAATCCTGTGGTGTTTCAAACCAGACCGAGCTGGGTTCAAATCCTGGTTCAGTTCTTTTGAGGGGGGGGGGTCCGGTTGTGGGGCCTGAACTCCGGGCCTGTGCGCTGTCCCTCAGCTCTTCAGCTCAAGGCTAGTGCTCTACCACTTGAGCCACAATGCCACTTCCAGCTTTTTTCTTTTTTTGCTTACGTGGTACTGAGGAATGGAACCCAGGGCCTCTGGCATGCAAGGCAAGCGCTCTACCACTGAGCCACCTTCCCAGCCCTTGGTTCAGTTCTTTTCTAGTCACGTGGGCCTAGGTGAATGATTCAGCTTTCCTGTCCAGTTTAAGAATAATGCCACCTTCACAGCATGGTTAGGAAGATTAAAGAAAATTTTTGAGTACTCGGTGCACAATAGGCCTGCAAATGAGACCTAATTATTAACAAATTGGAGCACATAACCCTAGCTTAGAGTAACCCACTTCACCCCAACTAGTGTAACCACCTCTGGCCCTCCTTGGCCGCATCCTGGATGTACCACTTTCATCGGATAATGAATTGCCCCAGGGTCCATGACTCTAGGACTTGGTAGGTCTGATAAAACAAACCCAGCTCATGATGGGAAATTCTAGCTACATAGCTACTTGATGTTCTATACCAAACTAAGTCCACCTGTACCAGATACAGTGGGATGCCAGTTTGGGCTTTGGTTTTGTCTCCAGTTCTCTGTAGCAGATGGCAGTCACCCTTACTCTCGAAGCCTAGGGGTCTAGAATGGAACTCCCATTGGGACTTGTCAAAATTTCCCCATAACATCTTTTTTCCCCTCACCATTGGGTACTTATCTGTTGTGTCATATGGCACCTGCCCCCTAGACGGACTGGAAAGTCCTTTTTGCTTTGTGTGCTACTAAAAAACCAACAGTCTTTTAATTCATCTAGTCTATGAGTTGGAGCTGCTGCCTAGCTGCAGGCTTGTTTGCAGTTAGAATCTAAGAAGAAATACCAGGCATTGTGGGAGGTACACAATGCAGCAATTGGTCCCATGTGGTCACACCATGCCTCAGACGGCCAGACCCACTACAAGATTCACTGATAGAAAGGGCTCCAGGATAGCCACTGTCCCAGCCTTCCACCCTCTCAAGCACATGAGTCCTCTAAGTACCTCCAACATGGTATGCACATCTTAGTTTGGGGGTCTGGTTAGGACTGTGTTATTGACAATGTGATGTTTTATGGAATTTCTATCTGGTTTTGATCTATGCAGCTATATTGTAACTGGAGGGACAATACTCAAAGTGTCCATCCCAAGTGAATACTGCTAGGCTTTGACTACTTTCTTGAACCACTCTTGGCGCTAACTCTTGATGCTCCCTAGGAACTTACCAGAGGGATTCTTTTTTTGGGGGGGGAGGGTCCGGTCATGAGGCCTGAACTCTGGGCCTGGGCGCTGTCCCTCAGCTCTTCAGCTCAAGGCTAGCACTCTACCACTTGAGCCACAGCGCCACTTCCAGCTTTTTTCTTTTTGCTTATGTGGTGCTGAGGAATTGAACCCAGGGCCTCATGCATGCAAGGCAAGCGCTCTACCACTGAGCCACCTTCCCAGCCCACCAGAGGGATTCTTGGGACCAACACCTGTGGAATGAAGTAGGCGAAAACAGGGTGGAAGGAGATGCTGGGGTACTGTGTAGTCTTAACAAGGGTCTCTGCAGCCCCACTGAGAAGCTCTAACGCTGGGATAGCATTTTTCAAAGTGGCCCCAAGTTGGAGCAAGAGAACCATGCCTTTATATGCCTGCATCACCAGTGATGGCACAGGCTACTCCAAGCTGGGAGTTGAGACCCTGGACAGGCAGCTCTTTTCAGCCAAGGTTCTTTCCAGGAAGGGCTGATCCGTGACATTTCTCTGTTGGCAACACTTCCAGAGTTTTTTTGGTCCCTTATTCCTGGAAAATGTCTGGGGAACACATCAGCATTAAAGTCTATATTATCTATTTGATACACGGTTAGAGTCTTTTGCTTTCCAATATTCAGAAATTATTCCTTTCCTTTTTCCCTTTGGACTACATTTTGCTTTAAAATTGTTAAATGTTCATATAAAATGTACTTAATTTTAATAAAATAGTGTTATCTAAGTGGGAAATGTTTGGCTTAAAATGGATTTTAATTATTAATATTTAATAAGTACATAAAACCCCTACTCTCAATGAAATCTGACCTTTTCTTGCCCTCTCTCTTTCTCTCTGTATCTATCACCTTTCTACTCTGATTTTTCCTTTCCTCAATCTATAAAGTTATCCATTATCATTGTTCATTATTAATTCTCCTTTATCTTTTTATTTTTAAATGTGCAATTTTGCGTACACCACCTCTTTTTGTACCAATTTTAAGGCCTTAAACTCAGGACCTGGGCCTGGTCTCTAAGCTTTTTTGCTCAAAGCTAGCACTCTACCACTTGAGCCACAGCTCCACTTCCAACCTAATTGGAAATAAGTCTTATGAACTTTCCCTACCTGGGTTGGCTTATGTGATCCTCAGATCTCAGCCTCCTGAGTTGCTAAGATTACAGACACGAGCTACCAACACCAGGCCTTTTTTTTTCTTTTTCCTTTACATGCTGGGAATCAAATCCAGAGTCTTGTGCATGCTAGGCAAGTTCTTCAGTCCTCTAGTCCTTTCTTAAAGCAAAGTTAGTCTGCTGAAAATACTTCTCTTGGCACCATAGTTGGATATTCCCCGAAGTCCTTGTGTGAAAGGGTGTGTCCTCAGGGTGAGTTGGGGAAGGTGGGACATTGGGGAGGTCCTTAGATCTTTAGGGTCAGACCCCACCTGTCCAAACTTTTTCTTTTTTTTTTTTGTCTTTTTTTCTTTTTTGGTACTGGGGATCGAACCCAGGACGCTGCACTTGCTAGGCAAGCGCTTTGCCACTGAGCTACATCCCAGCCCTGTCCAAACTTTTTCTTTACACCCAGACATGAGTTGCTGGGCATACCAACATATGTTCCTGCCATGATGTGCGGCCTCCCCACAGGCTCAGATAGATATGAGCCATTGACCATTGATCTTGGACTTCCAATCTGTGAGCCAAAGTGAAACTTACCTTTTTTCATAAATTTATTATATCAAGTTTTTCACTATAGTGATTTTAAAAAAAGCTGACAAAGACACTTTAGGTTTCTATCACTGCCAACATGCTTGAAGAATATGATACATGTTTTAATAGCTCTTTCTTGTTTCTTTATATAGTTGCATAGTACTTATTTTATAGATATCCCATAGCTTATATAATAGTCTCCTATTAAGAGGCTTTATTATCTGTATTTTTGTGCTGTTACAAAGAATCTTGCAGCAAATAAACTTGTGCATGCCTTATTTTAATTCTTCTTTTTCTATTTACCTTTTTTCTTTTCCCAAATTTCCTTTATAAAACAGATTGTTACAAAAATTGGTAACTCAAAGAGTGAATGCCAATGTAGTGAGCTAGATCTTGACAAATACTCCTTCATAGAAGTTCTATCATTGTGCGCGCACGCACACACACACACACACACACACACACACACACAGCAACGGCAAAGGAGTATGTCAGGTCAATAAAGCAGGTTGTCCAGTCTGGAATATTCTTTCATGATTCACAGGTGATACAGAGGTCCCAATATAGCTACAATTGCCATCTGTCTTGTTGTAAGCAAAAGTGAACATATTTTCAAGTGATTAATGGCGGAAGTGAGGTAGGGATGTAACTCGTAGGTAGAGTACTTGCCTAGAATGTTAGGCCCTAGGTTCAGTCCCCAGTACTGCAGAAGAAAAAGGAGAGAGCATTTTCAGTCTGTGTTTTGAACTTGAAAATTCCCCTGCCTTAATTTCTTAAGTTCTGGAATGATAGGCATGCATCACCACGTTTGGCATTGCATCTTCTATCCTGACTTATCCAGCTGAACTCCAAACATGCAATGCTTTTCACATAATTTTAGAAGTCT